ATATTCACTTGTAGAATTGTGAGGAATGCCAAAGGAAAGGATTCTTGACTGCTTGTGAGAATCAAAGGATTCTTGACTGCTTGTGAGAATGAAGTATGATGAGTTAATCTTTACACTTTAATTTAATTGTCAGAAGAGACTTCTTTGCCAAACTGGTAGTCATTGCAGTTAAACACAGATGCACAAAAGAAATGTTTTGATTCTGTGGAGATTTTTTTCCTTAGAAGTTGGTTTTTAGGCCCTGATTACCATGAAACAAATCGGGTGTACTTATTCTAAAGTGAGTATCCATGCACTTACAGATTTCTACTGGAATGAATGAGGCCAAACTAGCAAATTTTTGCTCTAGTTGGAATATGGAGACTTTATACCTCTCTAGCCAGAGAATGCTATCCAAACTGAGTAGCTAATATAAACATCTACATCTTTGCTTTTAAAAATTCATCTTGGAATGACTCTTCCTAACATCAGTAGTATCAGCTGCTTGTATTTAATAATTTCACTGTCTTGAAACTATGATTAACTTTATTTTTTAATCTCAGCTTTATTCAAGCAAATTTCTAACTGCAGCCACAAAGATATATCAAACTTGGCTGAAGTTGTCTGTGAATGTATTTTTTTATTGGAGTGGCAAACTTGGATAGCTTTAAATTCTGGAAAAGTCAGAACTTGCCAAACATACTAGGCAGGCTAGAAAAAAAATATGAGTAAGTGATTGCAAATATACTGCATTCTGAATATCTAAAATGTGGTTTGGGCGTTGCAATTCGAGAGAACTCAAATGAAATGTAATCAGAGATCACAGATAAGGCTAACTTTATGAAGTCAGTGCTCCTTTGCATAGGCCGAGAGGCCCTGGTTGGCACTGAGAATGCTGATCTAAGAAGTCAACATGCTTTTCAAGAGGAGAAAAAATGCAAATCTTTCTACTGCTCTGGCCACTCAGTACCTCAAGTATTGCTCTGATAAGTTGTTTTGATAGTGTTAAGATTATTCCAAATACTTGAGTGCTCTTCCATTATCAATATTGAAAATACCTATCACAAGCATAAATTCTGGGAGATGCATCCCATCAAGTAGCAAGGTTTATTAAAAATTAAATCTAAGGAAAGAGAACACTAGTCCTTGCAGAAGCTGAAATTAGGCCCTTCCACATGCTTCCTTCAAAAAGGCAAAAAGAAAAAAAAAAAAGCAAGCAGGGGTGGATGTTAATTTAATTTTTAGTTTTTCAGTAGCCCAGTTTTCATGGGCTCACTGAGTAGCATCAGTTCAGTTTTGCAGTCAGTCATCAATACACTGTTAATATCCAAATACATATGGCAAAAATGGAATAACCCCATGTAACAGTCACACAGCAGTGTGACTGGCTAGAAATCTATGTACAGAACACCCCAGGAATTTTGGAGGATATCAAGTTGGGCATGGGTCAGAAGTAGACTTCATAATTGCAGCTAAGAAGGCTAACTGCAAACCAGGTTGCATTCATGGAAGTGTAGTGAGCAAATCAAGAGAAGTTATTAGTGTCTTCTTCTTGGCACTGGTGAGGTGGCATCTGGAATAATGTGTCCAGTTTTGGACTCCCAGTATAAAAGAGATTGTGAGGAGACAGTCCAACAAAGAACTACCAGGATAGTTAGGGAGCTGATAGGCCTAATGATGGGAAGAGACAAAGGGCTGGGTTATTTCAGCCTGGAGAAAAGCAGCTTAAGTTTCTTTTGTAACTAGGAGCAGAACTAACTGCTGTCTTCAGCTCATAGGTGGTTAGAGTTACATCACTTTCTGAGTGATGCATAGTGAAAGGCTGGGAGGCAATAGTTATAAGGTAAAGCAAGGGAAATTCCAGTTGGACATGCGGAAAAACAATCTTTGTAATGAGGTTGGTTAAGTCTGGAGCAGGTTTCCCACAGAGCCAGTGGAACTGGCATTCTTGGAGATATTAAAAACTCAGCTGGACAGGGCTCTGAGGAACTGGATTTAAATTTGAAGCCAGCCATGCAATTTATTAGGAGGTTAGACTGCAGACATCCCTTGCTTCCAACCTAACATTCTCTGAGTCTGTGGAACTCATGTAGTCTGTTACAGCAAGAAACTGGCCACCCTGTGTCTGAGAAGCCTTCAGAGAAACTTAACCTGTGTGATTTTTCTTAGGAGTAAAGAGCTGTCTCACTGATGATGACACACTTCTTCAAGAGACAGGAAGCTGGAACTACTGGCAGAAAAAAGATCCGTTGAGAGACTGGATGCTGTATCATATCATGCTGACCCAGAATCAGCAGACTTCACCATGAAGGGGACAGCTTCAGCAGTTCTGCAGAGTCAATAGGGCTTGGAGTAGGAGTTGGAATTTCTTCTTTCTCCCATGGGATCTCTCTGCATGGATACTTGCTATTCAGACGTGGTGCAAAGGGCATGATTTGGCATAGCTGGGAGAGCTTGGGAGTTACTCTAACTTGCATGTGTGTTAAGTGGCTGAGGACAGTATTACAACTAACACAGGCAGGCATTCCTTGGAGAGGTATGCAGTTGAAACCAATTATGTTTCAGCACTGCCTTCACTAAAAAAAAATTAATCAATCTCTTCTCTCTCCTTCCCCTGCCCTCAGTGGGAGTATGTGATTTTAGCCTTTTCACTCAAATTACAGACTGTTCTTTTTTTCTTGATGCCAGCAGCCAGTCTTTCACACAAAAGCAAAGATTTACAAAGAGGTGACAGGCCCCATTGTATCAGCATGTTCCATGGCAACTTTTTACACTCTTAACAGTTTGCACAATCCACATGATTTTCCTGTTCTTTATTAATGGTATATCCCAGCTGTTTCTGGTTTACAAAGAGAGTTCTTGTACTTCTTTGCCACTGCAGCAGCCCCACAGGAGCAGCTCACACTGGGATGCTTGGTCACTTACCCAGGCAGGAGGCACAGTCCCAGTGCCAGGCTGCAGGTATGCAGAGTTTGAGCCTGTGCACTGCACGTCTATATGTGTGGTGCAGGTACAATTCAAAGTTAGCATATTTAATCATATCTATGCACAAATTATTTGTCAACCGCAATGCAATCTAGAAGTACCTCAGGGTTCTGTGCTTTATTGTGTGACAACAACTATAGCTCTTCATCCCTTCTGTCTTAGGATGACTTTCTTTTAGGACTTATTTTTAGTTCCCTTTAGTGCAAGTTTTATATCAACTTTCGTTGTCATTATCTCATTCTTATCCTAATGTGTACATTATGCAAACACATTTCACGTTCACATGAGCCCTATTGTGAATACATTACTGTCTTCTTTGCAATGATTTCAGTGGGGGTTGTGGATTTGCATGAAACACAGATCACGGTGCAAGCCCCAGTGCTGCTCAGTGCTTACTCCTCTACCTTAGTTTCCTTTGGATCTTTATCCCTGACTGTGGGCTTGAACTTTGAATTGCTAGTAGGAATTGTTCCTAGTAGGAACTTCTTGCAGTAGATCCTGCCTGCATTTATTTTCTTTTAGATAAAATAACATGGATACCAGAATGACAGTATTTGGAATTTAGGCTAAATTCAATATATTATGTTTCTTTTAACAAGCTTATCAAACCTGCTCTAGCATTTTCCATTTACAAGGGGCAATGAGATGTGTCAGAGCTCATAAACCAAATCCACATTTAAGAGCACCACTGGGCTAGGCAGCCCTGCTGCTTTTCTGCAGACTAACAGAGCTATTAGCAATTGGTTTACAGGAGAGAAATGTTCAGTGGCTAAGACAAGTGAGATGAAGAACAGGAAGAGTTCTAATGAGACCTAGAATCACTGTTACCTTAGTAATTTATTAGCACTCAGCTCAAACTCTTATTGGAATGTAGTGTTTTTACTGAATTCATAATTTGACCTTAAGGGGTGCTATTAGCCACATAAATGCGTATGAAAAGAAGCAACTCCAAGAGCTAGAATCATATGGAAGTGTGTGTTATTGCAAATAAAGATGGGGGAAATATGAATGGTGTAACTGTCCAAGCTGTAATCTTCATGGGTTTGTGAGCCGGCAGTCAGCCCCAAGATACAATGCTGTGATACTGATGTTTCTCTTTCATGTGGATAAGTGCTTTTGGATTTCTAGCGCAAGCTGTAGAGCCTCACAAATTAATGAATAGAGAGGCTGAAATGTAAAGGACACAAAGCAACCAGGCAGGAAATTGTCCTCATTGTTTAATTTTTTCATTTCTGAAAATTCTGGATCTTTTAAAGATCCATGCCTGCTCCCATTAGAAAAGAAGGATCCCCAAGATTCAGAGCTTTCTGCCTCACATTATTCTTCAGAGTACAAGCAATTTGAGATGCTAGCCTGGAAATACCTAATCCATTTCTGACTAGCAAATCTTTTCTTTAATAGGCAATTGAAACACATTCAGAAACTTTTCACTAAGGAGGTGTGGAATTAAAACAGGAAGTTTCACCCTTCTGCTTTTTTCCTTTCATCTTTTTCTGCAGAAGCCATTTAGTTGTATCCAGGCTAAATTCATACACAGTTCCAAACTGAGGTTTTCAGGTGATCTTAACTAAAATGTTGCACTTAGCCTTTGAAATTACTCTAGTTATGTAACATATATGCCAATAGGTATCTGTTCCTCCCCCTTTTGAAATTTCAAGTCCTTTTCTGTTAGCAATCTGGTCTTACCTAGATGGAATTCTGGTTAGAAGCATAGAATTTCTATTGAGAGAATGTGTCTATTTCTCAGGACAGGTGGTTAAAGCTACAGGTTGGTAGAAAGCAGTTCACAGTTACATCAGTCATAGACCAGAAATTAAGGACACAATTTTCTGAATGTCCTGCACAGTTCTTACCAAGAGTTTTGCCTTTTCCATCTCAGCATTCCCTGATAAGGAATTACTTTATCTGTTACACAAGTTGTGAAGTACAGTGACCATGCAGGGTCCACAGGTTTTTTTACACTTTAGTTTTTAATTGAAGAAAAACCCAATCACTAGTAATTATTTCAGCAGTAATAACAGAATGAATTCACTTACCCTATGATAATGCAGGAGATGGCAGTTCCCAAAAAGGCATAGGTTACAATTGATCCTAAGTTTCGAAAAAAATGTCTCTGGGGAGGAAAGTTCAAAAAAAGTCCTTTGTAATTCAGTCAGTAAAAGAACATTCAGACCAAGGTGAAATATTGCATCTAGAAGTGCCATTTGTTACAACCCATATATCAAATATGAAATGAGATAATATAGGCTAGATCAGTAGCCTATACCTTTTATTTTGGAAAATACAAGTTAAGATGATTGTTTTTTTCTGGTGGAATGTCATCGAATTTCCCTCTTTTATATATCTAGCCAAGTGCTTCAGAATCATAACAGAAGTTCACATAGAAAGCATCTGATGTAAATAGTCTCATAACCCCATCCTTGAGCAAACAAAGCCCTGATCTTGCAGTATAAAAATACAGGTAGGCTGCTGCCTATGTGTACTGTTACCAGATTCTGAGAGGTCTCCTCTGAAAACAGGAATGCCCAAGTGTCATATAGTGCACAATCAAATCTTTGCACAGATGCATAAAGGCAGCAGAATAAGGCCCATGCATATCTCATTTCCCTCCATTCCTGTGAAGTTCTTCCCATACAACATAATTGTCAACTGACTCTGTCACTTGGCCTCTCAGATCTACAAAGTGGCAATCCCTTCAGTAACCTTTGTAACATAAGAAATACAAACCTTCTTTAAACTGTATCCAGCATGAAATATAATGGGTGGCAGCAAAATATTGAAGAAGATGGAAGGATCAAATGTCATCTGCCAGAAAAGACAAAAGAGAGGGTAAGGTCAAATAAAGTAGCATTTTATTTGACAGGGTAGGTTTTAATTGTAACTTCTTATCAGAATTAATCTGAGGATCAGCTTCAAAGTCTGCAGGCCAGAATGTTACTCTGAGTTGTTTTCTTACAAGTATTAATGTATAGTTCCTTACTCATTGTATATGTAGAATAATACCTGAAAATATTCCTTAAAGAAGGAAATTAGTCATGCACTATTTTACAGGGAACACACAGAAGCAGTGCTACATGTGCTAGTATCTGCACTACCAGACATCCAACTAGAAAGTCCCATGGCTTACATGCTGTTTAGTTTCAGGACAGACAAATCATCAGTGTTGTGCCTCAGTTCCCCATGTACATTGAGGCCTACAGTACCAAAACAAATGCTTCCTTTGAAGCATTTATGTTTAGGCACAGACAGAGCTTGCTCATGTTGTTTAATGGGCCACTGGCTGTCAACTTATATCTGCTTTCTTGAACTACTGTACATGAAAACTGCACACTTTGACCATCTTCATTGCTTCACTTAAATTAACCTAAAAATTATCAAAAATATATTTTACCTCACTTTTTCAGCAGGCAAGGAACATTCAAGTGGCTAAGTAATGTAGCTTAGATGTGCCATAACTCATTGCACTGTAATTGTATAATCAGTTCTGCTAAACTGCAAGCATGGGTTTCTATTGTTTGGAAGGTTCTTAGTAAATCTGCTGACTGCTTCTGTAGCATGGTTTCCATTGCAACAAATCTCACACTATGTAGTTGGTCCATTCAGTTTTGTCCTGACTGCAATAAAACAAGCTCTAGACTCTCCACAGTAACTACCTATTTTGACTTCCTATCAAAATGTAAGTTTAACAAATCAGAAATTGTCCTTTTTGGCAGTTACCATCACTGGAGATATTAATGAAATATGACAATGTGGCATTGAGGCATGGTACATTGGGTTTGGTGGGTTTTTGTGGGTTGTGTGTTGTTGCTGGTTTTGTGGGGTGTGTGCTTATGTGTTTAGTTTTAGGGTTTTTTTGGGGGGGTTGTGTTTGTTTCTTTTTTGCTTGTTTGTTTGGGGTTTTTTTGTTGTTGGGATTTTTTTTTCTCAATGATCTTAGAGGTCTTTTCCAACCATAACATTTCTGTGATTCTGTGACAATGTACAGTCAGTCCACTTAAGGACAAGCAGCTTTCAGTAAAACAAAATCCTGTTTAAAACCACAGCATTGCTTGAGAAAAAATAAATTAATAAGTCTGTGTACTGTTTAATGTTCTGTCAGTGGGTTATATTATACTGAAACTTTTAAAAGAGGCAGAATGTAATTAACACAATGTTTTGAAGCTCCTTTGTGCAGATAAAGTGATGTTTTAAGGCTAGAGTATTCTAGATTAATTCTTTACCTTCAAAAGAAAAGACTTGCCTACAAAACTACTTTGGTTGTCTTGCTAACAGATTGATTTGATTGGCAGGAAGTGAGAGCTCAGCCTTTGTTTCCATTCTGCATGCTTCGAATTATAAAGTTGAAAAAAAACTACCTGGCAAATAATATGCCAGTGACTTCAGCTATGCTGGTAACTTTATTGCAAACATGACAGGAAAGGAATTTTCTTCACTTATGAACTAACAGCCTCAAATGTTAATTTTGGAATTCTCTGAGCAAATATGTTAAAGTATTTTTTCCTTGACATCAGAAATCCTAACGGCATGTTTTATTATTCAAAACCATGTTCTAAAGGATATGTGTTTGTAAGTCATGGCACAAAATATAGTTTCTCATAAATACACTTAGTAAACTCTTGAACTAAGAAGTCAATTGGGAATTAAAGTTGTACAAAAAGCAGTTGTGTTTTCGGATTTTATGTTGGTGCTTTTGCCAGTTAGGAAGGCTGCCAGGCATTGTTATTATCTCATAAATACTGTTGAATTCCTCCCTCTTTCCTTTTCTATTTATTTTCTTTTTAAGAGAGCATTTGCCAGATAATTTGAATGGAAAAAGGAATGAACATCCAGGCATGATGAGGCCTCTCCAGTAATTTAGAGAAACTCACAATTCACATTTAAGGATCTTCTAGCAAAGTGAGATTGTGGAAAGAAGATTGGGCAATGCTCTGTAAGGGCAACAAACTTTAGTGCAAAGTAGTGCTTCTCCTCTCTCATTACACAAGTCAGCTTCAGTATACCAGGTTTAATGAAGATGTTCAAATGGAATGGATTAGTACATATGCCTTAGAAATTAAACACACACTTTAAGTAAGATAAACCCCTTGCAACCAAATAGCAGGAAAAAGGATGAAGACTCAGCAAAAACTGCCTAGTTCACTGCCACAGTATTTTCCTGTCCCCACCCACCACAAAGCTGATAGTCCTTGACAGTCTGGTTCTTTCTGAAAATAGTAAGAGTGCAGCAGTAACGACAGTCGGGCACACAGTGGTGCTGCACCAGCAAGGAATTTGAGCAGATGGTTAAATCCTTATTCTGCTGAACTCCCCAATGTACATTCTAAGCACAACTCAAAAGTTTTTATAATGATTACCACTATAATACCCAGGAATATGTATTACTATGCTAGTTAAAAATACTTGGAAAAAAGCAAAGTAATATATTGGACTATTGTAAAAAAAAAAAACAAACAAAGCAAAACACTGGTTTAGAGCTTAGAAGCTTTATATAAATATGTGATGTATTTGAGCATAAAAGCCAATTTTTAAAAAGTCCCTCTGCACTCATGAGTTCTTTAAGTTGCTGGCTTTTTTTAAGAAAGTAAATGTTAAGAAAATAAAGTATTGTGAGGGTGGGGGGAGAATATCTAACAAAGTAATATATTTTAATTGTTATATAGTGGAAAAAAGACAGGCCTGTGACATTGTAGAATACTGTAAACTTCCTCCTACACTTCTCCTTTTACATCTATCCTGAATTACTGCAATGCTAACTCTCAAAGCTTTGAGATGGCCAGTGAAATCCCCACTTAGGACAACTGATTTAATGAATGAATGTATAAGAACTTTGTAACGCATTTATGTTTGATAAAAACCTCTACTTATCTATGAAGATTTACAAATTTACAAGTTTACATTCTGAAAAATATTTAGAGTTTGTAGTTACCTCTACTGTATAGAGGAGGTAAACCTCTCTTGTGTTATGCTGCTAGACCAAGTCACTTTTAAGACAGAGGAGAAATAAAGAAATCTTAATCAATAGGGTTTATAAACTTTTGGTGGCAATGAATCCAAGGTATCAGCTTTGCCTACAGGTAAACTCAGTGTCTGAAGGAGGTGGGACTGTCATCTAAAAGAGTTCAGGCAACTATTGTGCAATCATACGGCCAGTCACATGCTGAATGAACTGCATCCTATTTCCATTTCTCTTCTCCTTCCTCACCCTCCTCACCCTAAATTCAGAATAGCCTCTCTGTGTCACCTTTTAGCTTGAAACTTGTGTTCCTCTCTCAAGGGTGTAAATAAATATCTCACACAGTATAGAACAAAAATAAGATAGGTTTTACCTTTTGAAGCATTGCATTGCTTTGGTGATGATTGGCATTGTGGTGGCTGATCTCTCTTTTGTATTGATATTCATAGACTTGATTAGTTATATTAATGAGCAGAGTGGATGGTCCAGATTTCAGCTTTTCACATTCATAAACAGTTCCACTTTCAACATCTGATGCTTTTGTTGCGTATCGTATGATTAATCCCATTACAAGGCCTGGAAAGTTGGGGGGAAAAAAAATAAAAAAAAAATTGGGTATTTTTAAGTAACTGATGCTACACAATTACCAATTTGCAGAAAATTAATCTCTGTTAAAGGTAGGACATCACTTTCTCAGTGTTTCCACCTTCACAGGGGTACACCTCACTCAACACTTCATAGATGACCATAGAATATTCTTCCAAAATGGTTCTTTCATTAGAATACAGATGCCAGTTTAACATATGCTCAGTTGTACTCCTATTTTTGTGATCCAGTTGCTTGAATCATTCTGATATAGTTATTAGCTGGGTTGCTCAACCACTGCATTTTCGATAGAGACATAGAGAAGAGGAATGCCTGCATAACTAGTGGGCTGTACTGGTCACACAAAAATCACCTGTGCTTTTGGTGATCTTAGGTACTTCATGCATGTGGGAAAAATTGACATGGTATCCTTGGGAACATTCTGCTTTCTGTAGAAGACTGTGTGTGTTTGAGATTGTGTAAACATGACAAAGTAAAAGCAGGAAGAAGGAAAGGAAGATTAAGCCTGGGATTAATTGATTTTGTTATCTACAGTTTAGGACTCTTTATCTAAGACAGACATTTTGCCTCCCTTTACAGTCAACAGAGAGGAAAATGTACTTCTGTGATTGTCCTTTGGAAGATTTGCTTCTTTCTGTTGGCTGTAATGGTAGCTTGAAAGTACTTCAGGAGAGGTGACTAATATTTCTCTAGATAATATTACTGAAATTATTTCCACCCTCAAAGACCTGTATTTGATTTTAAATTTAATTTCCATGCTTCTTTTATGTCCTAGGTATTTTAAGTCTCATGTATATGATGAACAGCTTTAGAGTTGCTAATGATGAACACATTCATAAAATGCTAAGGATACTCATTAAATACTGATGGAAGACATCTAAACATCTAGATAGACATACTAACACAAGGTAAGAAAGAAATTAAGCTACAGGAAATAGCTGATAAGCATCTGAAAAATATTATGTTAAAGTTTTATCCAGCTAGTAATCAGATGCCATGGTGATAAAAGTAAACACAAATGCCTAGAGAGATAAATAGGGTGTGTTTGTTATTTTCACATTTTCCCCAAAAAAGAAAAACTCTTTGAAGGGAAGATTTCTAGCATATAGGTAAGGCAAGTTTGTAGCTTCCTGGACTGATGCTACAACAGAGTAACAGCTGCACTGCTTGTTTAGTCAACATATGCATTTATGTTTGTTTTGTATCTATTGCTTACTGTGGTTGGTCTCCTTATATGGTGGAGGATTTAGATAAGCAGTAGAAAATCCCAAGGCTGCTTTCTTAAGTTATACAGCACCTGTGCAATAAATTATATAATTAATGTGGCTGTAGTAAAAAACATAATTCCTTAAAATTTTATGGGGAAGCACTTAGGGAAAAAAGAAAGCAAACACTGCACGTGCTGCTGTCTTTCCCACACATGATTCTTCTGTGCTTGCCCAGCTTCTTGTCTTGCTGTATTTCCTGGTCTCTAACATTACCTGTTCATTTACAGCATCTGTCATATTAACCCACCTTTTTCTGGGTAGTTTTACCTAGACCCTCACCTTTTTTTCTTTTTTTTTTCCCCTAGTAGCTTCTTTTTTGTTATACTGTCAACAGTGAGCATCATGCTCACAAGTAACTTCTTGCTGCATACAGAAGAGCAGACTTTAAGGAAATAGGGCTATTTTAAACTGAGAGCTCAAAAATCATGAGTGAAGAGCTAAAAACATGAAAGTGATTTTAAAAATAAGTTTAAATCCTACTATTCAGAGCTCTTACTCGGATTTATTTTTTAGCCTTTGAAGTTTAACTGTTTACATCCTTTGACGTTTAACTGTTTACATGCCTTGTACACAATAACTTTCAGAATGGCAACATGGAATTTCTCAAGGGAGATCAGCGGAGACCTATTGAATCTGCCTCCACCATCTCTACTGTACAACCAGGCGGACTATTGTCCTACAACATTCCAATATTCTTAGTATGAGTGTTATATTGGCTAATATAGCATGTACTTTGAAACAAAGTCTGTTTGATAATTTTATAAATGAGAAGAATGCAATTGCATTGAATTCTTCAAGGGAAAATTATTTCAAGCTGTAGTGTCAAGTTTAGACTAGGAGTAGAGGACTGTTCTTATACTATATTCTGAGAAGATATGTTATCTTCAGCTTTAGTCTCAAACTGCCTCTGTGGGAACTTTCTGGAATGGAAGAAAGTGCAAATAATGTCCTGCAGGACATCTCTTGACTATGAATAAACCCATTTGCTGAAAAGGAATATTTTAAAAATATGATCACAGTAGCTGTAGAGAAAGAAACAAAGATCAACACTGAGTGAATTTTACAACTGGAATTCTAGTTAGGCTTTTGGGTTTTCTTCTACCAGCTTTTGATCCTATCCTCTGATGGAGTCCAGATCTGGGTAACGTACAGAGCTGCAAAAATAATTAAATGAAAGAACAAGGAATTTGTGAGAGTATCCAACAGCATACACATATCAGAGAAATTACATTACAGAAGATTTAGTATCTTTAGAGCACCAATGGGGCTTTGAGGTCCTGTGGTTCTCAAGGAAATTCTAAAATGTATTGAATTTGAAAAAAACGTTGATGAGATTCATAATGATGGGTTGATTCAGATTATTCTCAAATGCTCCATGGAAGGTTCAGGCAAAGACAATGCTATCACTACACTATATTGCAAGAGTCAATATAAGTTATGGGGTTGTATCCTTCCTTCAGGAATAATAAATGTGCCAAAAACCCTATAGAAAACCCCCAATGAATGAAAAATCTGGGAAGAGTGTATTTAATATTTTAGTAGGTGTATCATTTATGGAATGCACTTTCTGCTTTAAATAATTATATAACATTTTTTTCATAATAGAATTCAGGAGCCCAGATGATATTCTAATACAAATAATTCATTTTAAAATAGATATGTAATGTTCTCTCCTTTCCACTCCCCCTCCTTCCAAACGGAAGTAATGCCTTTGTAATCTACCTTCCTAAGCATCCATACAAAACAACTGCTTTTTGCTAAGTCTAATCACTATACAATGCACTTCACCTTACAGGAACAGGTCCTTTCTTTCCCCAGAAATTTATGTACTCAGCTGTTAAATGCTTTTCTTAATAATGAAACTCTGGGATGCAGTTTTAGCCTGTCCTGGTTTGAGCCAGGATTAATCTAATTTTGTTTTTACTGACTTTTTTTTTTTCTTTTTTTTCTTTAGTGAACTCTCTTTTAAGGAGCACATTTGCTGAAAGTAGCAGCATGTTTTTATGCCAGTGGACTGATAATGCCCAAATGTTTATAGTTACTGCTGAGAAACCAAGGACACTTTGCTCTATTTGTCAAATGTGCTGCTTTGGACATTAAAAGAGCAGGAGAGTTGTATCTGCAACCCTCCTGTAGGGGGGAGTGGACTAGACAGATGGCAAACCTGGCCAGTCAGAGTATTCCACCCCATATATAATTCAGGGATCACAGAAGTCAAGCCCTTCTTTTTTCACTTTTCTTTGGTTCAAGGCTAGCATCCAGGGAGGACTCCATCTATCCATCTCCTTTGATTCCCAGGCCCATGCATTCCTAACCCTCATAACTCTGCCCTCAGCTCCTGTCTGCTCTGCTGCTCTCTCCAGCAGCACTCCAGCACTTTTTGGGACTCCTCTGAACTCAGGAAACACTATAGGGATTGCTGGGGTGGGGGCCAGAGGGGATGGCTTTTGCACAATCTTTCACATATTTATATACATTTATACATATTTTCTTTTATCATTAGTATGTAATTAAAGCTGTCTAGTTTAGTTTTCAATGTCCTCATTCTCTCTCTCCTTTCCCT